TGTGGTGGACGCTGAGTGGAGTGAGAATGAGTGAGAGAGTGACGATCTCTGTGTGTGTGCATGCGCGCGCGCGTGTGTGTGAGAGAGACAGTGTGCCATGGCTTTGGGCGTATATAATATATATATGTATCTACGAATCTCCATGTGGTCCAGTGTAATCCCTAATAAACTTCTTGCATTTCTTTCATAGACGGTATTGCTGCGCGCGCATGTTGTCTCTTCACGGGGGGGGGGGAGTTACACGGTGCCGTTAGCTGGATGGTACTCCACAACGCCAACACTGACAACTGACGGCGAAAACTGTATAAGCACAACGAAGTATGATACGAAAACTCCAAAGATCTGAAATAAAACAAGTTTAAATCTGTGGCGATCGGTCAACGGGATTTCTCCGAGTTAGCTGCAGTTTATGTCTAATCTATGATATATATATATATTATATTTTTTTTAATTTTATTTATTTTTTATTTTTTTATTTATTTATTTATTTATTTATTTATATATTTATTTATTTATTTACTTATTTTTCACGTCGTAAATTGCTAATAATTATTAATAAATAAATAAATAAATTTTCTCATATGCAGGCACACCGTCCGTTAGCCGCGGCAACGACCTAGCTTTGCTTGATGGTCCAATCGATGAAAAAATGCAGGTACGTTCTTGTACAATTAGACATTATTGCGTGCACGATAGCTCAAGTAACATGCTACGACGCACATCAGTGCCTGCACAGCCTGCTACATAAGTTTAGGTCACATTAAAACGAAGCGTTACACTGCAACATTTCGTTATCGTTATCGTTATCGTTATCGTTATCGTTAGATATATATTTTATAAATATTTTCGTATAAAGTTTCATCGTTATTACTATATTTGATATAGATTCTCATGTTTGCGACGAAGTTATCCGGGCCAAGCATCGGACTCACCGCTTACAAGTTCTTCTCCGTGGACAGGAGCGTTCTTCTGACGGTGTGTAGTGGTTGCTGTGTCAGATGACGCCATCCTCTGTCCGCCATCTTCTTATCCGTAATATGAACATAATATAGTAATATATAATAATATAATAATATATGTAGTTCGTAGTTTGTTGCGAAATACTGCCCTCTCTTCATTTCTCTCCCTCTCTTGCTCTTTCTTCTCTCCACCTCTCTTTCTTTCTTTCTCGCTATCGCTCTTTCTTTCTTTCTGTCTCATATTTAATACGGAAGAAAGTGAGTGAGTGAGTGAGTGAGTGAGTAAGTGAGTGAGTGAGTGAGTGAGTAAGTGAGTGAGTGAGTGAGTGAGTGAGTGAGTGAGTGAGTGAGTGAGTAAGTGAGTGGGTGAGTGGCTGAGTGAGACTTACTCACTCACACTCACTCACTCACTCACTCGTGAGTGAGTGAGTGAGTGAGTGAGTGAGTGAGTGAGTGAGTGAGTGAGTGAGTGAGTGAGTGAGTGAGTGAGTGAGTGAGTGAGTGAGTGGGAGTGAGAGTGAGTGAGTGAGTGAGTGAGTGAGTGAGTGAGTGAGTGAGTGAGTGAGTGAGTGAGTGAGTGAGTGAGTGAGTGAGTGAGTGAGTGAGTGAGTGAGTGAGTGAGTGAGTGAGTGAGTGAGTGAGTGAGTGAGTGTGGAGGGAGGGCGTTTTTCACTGTAACTGCCGCACATATCGCGCATGCGCTCCCGGACTGTTCACCCTGGCGGCGATTATCGCAGCAGCGTTGTCGGCGATGAACATATCCCACGTGACGAACTCGAGATTACTCAAACTGGCGCCCTCTCGCGGAGACGGTTCGTCCGGTCGGGCGTCGGTCGTCGGCGACGGCGGCGGCGGCGTCGGCAGCGCGAGGCCGGCACGCCACTCTGCGAGCACGGCGGCTGCCTCGTCGCGCGACACGACCCCTGCCGACCGCGTGTCGCGACGCTCGAAGATATTGCGCATGCGCAGCACCTCGTTCGGCTGCAGCAGCTCGACGAGCCGCCGCTTGGGGCGCATGCGCAGAAGCTTCAGCGCCTCTGGCGTCACGAACTCCCACCACGTGATCACGCCGTCGCCGTTCGGGTCGGCTCGCCGGAAGTCCGCTTCGAATTCCTCCCGCTTCCGGTGCGTCGGCTCCTCGCCGTCGTTGAGCGCGCGGTGTTGTCGCTCGCGGTAGCCAACGTACTCTGCGAGCTCGACGGTCGCCGACTGGTCGGCATCGTATCTGTCGAACTGCTGCGTGACGGAGAGCAACTCGTCGGTCGTCAGCAGCTCGACGACGTTCTCGCACGACGGACAACTCCAGCCGACCGTCGTGTCGGCGACGGCGAGCGACGGGTCGTCGGCGACGACCTGCCGACGCTCGCGCAGGCAGTCGACGTGGTAGGCGGCAAAGCAGACGCGGCAGCAGACTCGCCGCTTGTTCTGGTAGTGGTGGCAGTAGTCGCAGACGCTAGTAACGTCGGCCGCCGGCAGCAGCAGAGAGTGGTAGTGGTACTGCGGCGGCGCCGACAGCTCGTGATCCACGTAGGCGATCTCTGCGGCTGAGTCAGCGGCGGCGACACCTAGCGGCTCGGCGTGGCGGTTCTCCGTCGGGTCGTAGACGAGCGGACGTTGATAGTTCGGGATCTTCTTACGCGACAGCATGCGGGTAAAATCTGTCCATGCGCTGATCTTCGTCCAGCCGACCGAGCTCGGGTCTAGTGTCCCTCCTGCCTGCTTGCCCCCTTCTCCTGCCTGCTTGCCCCCTCCTCCTGCCTGCTTGCCTGCCAGCTTCTCAGCCAGGTTACCCGCCCAGACGGGACGCGTCAGCAAAGCATTCTCGTTAGTTGTCGATTCTTTGCTGGTAGATGGCGGTGCTGTCGGCGTCTTGTTGTTGCCCCTCTGGAATGCCTTCGCTACGGCGGCGGTGCGGGCGACGTCCGCTGTCGCCTTCTTACTTTTCTCTCTGGTGCTTGCGGCTGTACCCATGCTGGGTATGTGACTCCCCAATCCCGCGTTGCTATGCAACTAGGGGGCATTGTGGCGCCACGCGCAGACGCGAGCCCCCTAGCAACGGCCAGCTGCACTGTTCCCTACAGCAGCGTTCAGCTGTTTGTTGTAGCAACAACGTGTCGCGCCTTTAGAATTCTTATTATTTTCTTCCTTTTTCTTCTACCTTATAATTATTGATGTTGCTATTATTGTTATTATTTATATTATTATTATTAATATTGTACTAATAATATTTACTCTTATTATTATTTGAATGGGTGCATTAGTATGAGAGGTAGCTGTAAATTTACAAGCCCTTCGCCGTCAGAAATGATTGACTGACTCTGTTTTTTACGTGTTTCTTTGTTTCGTCTACTATTTCCAAGTATGTGCCCATATAAGATATAAAGATATATGAGATATAAGATATAAGATATAAGATATAAGATATAAGATATAAAGATATATAAGATATAAAATGTAAAGATAGGCCTATATGATATAACCACAACTAATATAAATATAAATAGCAAGAATAATAAGGAGAAGATGATGAAAAAGAATCTTTTCTTAAAATCAAATGAAACTGAAATTTATTGTTTTGTTATTTTGTAACTGTCTACAACTGACGGCGAAATAACACTACGAAAAATTATTGAGATATAACACAATAATCGCCAATTTGAGCATGTGTGAGAACACTAACAACAACATTTTAGTTTAATTTTGTACAAAGCAGACAGTTCATTGAGGCACGTAATTAATAGATTGAATTAAGGGCTTGGTGACCAGCCAATGAGTGATGTAAGAGATGCTGGGGTTTATAATTGTTTACGACATATTACACGAACAATCCTAACAACGCTACCGCACAAGATAAACGAAAAACATAAATTTAATACATAGTAGGTACCAAGTAATGTTTATACTGTGACAGGACGCAGATATTTCCCCACTAAATTAAAGAGCTACTATGGTAATCACATTATGAAAATTTGAAAACGAAATCAGCCGCATCCCCTTGATATAACTACGAATATAAGTTATTATATATATATATATATATATATATACATATATATATATTATACTTATAGACAACTTGTTGTTTTTATGGTTGTCATATTATAGCCTGATGAAGACAGATAATTCTCGAAAGTGGCTGAATAAAATTATTTCACATTTATTTTCATATCTACGCTCGTGTGTTTTTACTTTCTCTCTCTCTCTCTATATATATATATATAGATAAATATATACGCATACATGTTTAAATATGTATATAAATTACATATATTTTATCTGAGGAAGAGACGTTTCCTCGAACGCTCGCTCGATGCAATAAATTTATGACACCGTATTCTATTTTGAGTTTAATGTTATTTTCTAGTAGGTTTCTAGGAGGTAGTCTCTTCCTATCTCTTCCTCCCCTCTATCTTTATCTCACTGTCTGCCGCTATCTCTATCTATCCCTGAGTCTCTCTTTCTCTCTTTCTTTCTCTCTCTCTCTCTCTCTCTCTCTCTCTCTCTTTATCTCTCTCTCTCTCTTCCTTTTTCTCTCTCCCATTCCATTTTCTCTCTCTCTCTCTGCCTTTCTCTCTCTCTCTCTCTCTCTCTCTCTCTCTCTCTCTCTCTCTCTCTCTC